CAAAAACAACCACTTTCTTCATGGTGCTTCGATTTTTTTTTTTTGCAAAAGAATGTATATGATGGCATCTAATTTGGGTCATTAACAAATTGACATTCAACAACATATGGGTCCTTAACAATTCATGTTTAAAAATTGATGTCAAGTTAAAAACAATCAAAACTTACATTAACGTGACTACACTGGATCTTTACACAAGTTTTGCAGCAATTGCGTATGATTTCAGTTGTCTGGAGAAAAACATGCACTCACTGGAGAAGGTAAACATGCAAGAGACAGCATGATAAAAGTATCCCAAAAATTTTTAGTGGAATTCAGGTCAAGGGAATATGGCAGCCATTCCATATGAAAAAAAAAAAGCCCACACTCTCTAAATGTTTGACAGTGCTGGCTTAATGAGGGCAGACATTATTATCTGCAAAAAGGAAATCGGGGGCGACCGCAAAATAAAATCTCACAATGTGGTGTGGGATACAATCCCCCAGCTATTACAGAATTGTCTTTAAAGATGTGCAGTTGGGTTCAAAGTCCCATTTAAATTCCAGCTGACTTCATGATGCTCCTACCTGTGAATGCGTGATGTATGATGAAGCTCTGGGCCTTATTCTGTATGCCTTATTCTCTTCAGACTCTTAACACTCTTATCATCTGATTCCAGGGCAAATCTGGACTCATCCATGACTTGTACATTGCAACAATCTGAGAAAGTCCAGTTGATATGTTGATGACACTACTTCAGTCTTGCTCCTCTGGAATGAGAGATTAGTGAAACAAAAACACTTGGCACTCAGGTGTGCAGTCTCTTCATGAGAAGGCTTTTATGCTCAGAACTGCCAGATTGCCTTACCAGATGATACTGAAACGATGGATGCAGTAGTTGAGGAGGTTGCTCATTGATTCAGCTAGGTTTCTGTAGTTGTAATGCTGATCTTTAGAAGGGTTGAGAAGCAACATCTTTGGTCGTCTGTCTTGTTTAAATGTGTCTGAAAATGCATCAGAACTGAAAATCTGCCATTTGTCTTCTTTCGTCATAAAACATGAATGTTTTCAAAAGTTATCTTACAAAAGTACTAAGCACTTCATATCAACATTTAAATGAATCTTCTCAAACCTTCAGAATACTGGCATCTTTAATGACTTACCTAATTAGTATACATTTGGACAATCCATTGTGATTGGCTGCAACATGTATTTGCATAATGCCATCTGCATCTGCAACAATTTTCAGCCACTAAAATTCAACTCTGCTTTTGAAAATTGTTAATTTGCATTGCATGTTTAACTCTTTGAAACATGTCTAAGAAGTTTTACATTTCATAAAGTTTCTTATACGCAATGTGAAAACTCTTTTCATAAAAACTTTTACTTTATTTTTAAAAACTTTTTATTTAGAACTATATATCTAGGATGAGTATCTAAGCAAATGAAATATATAGTCACATTTTTAACTCCCTGTATATGTTATAAAATTTTAATAATTATTTTATTAGTCCAGTGGGGCTTTGTCCCTGAAGGACTATTGTTTAGATATAAATGCTTTCCAAAAGTTTAACATCCATAATAAGAGGCTGCATTTTTAAAAATACTTTATGCACATAAATATTATCATGCAAATGCATGAGTGAGATTTGTGTGAATAAATTTTCAGTTTAATTTGCTATCCAATAATAATTCTGATGTTTACATCTCGTCCGTCTTGTCAATGTATTCATTAAATTTCATTTTTGTGTATTATTATCTTATTGATAATGATTTTAGATTTTGTACATAATGCTGAAAAACAATTTAAATGCAGAGATTGAAATTTTTTCAGTTCATAAAAGTGTGTGTGTGTGACTTTTGTTTTCGTAACTATTGGTTGTAGACATACGCTTTCAATACAAGCATGTTTTAAATGATACAAAAATTCATGTTTTTCTATTCTAAATTAAAAATAAATTAAAAATATATATATATATATATATATATAATATATATTTTACTTTATTTTAATTAATTATTACTTTATATTTTATTTAATTAATTAAATAAATATATATATATACATAAGAAAAAAAAAACCTCACTTTTAACACATTTTCTTGGTTCATATACTTAAATTTAGGAAAAATTGTACTTTTTATAAAAAAAACACAAGAAGTTTGACTCCTGTATGACAAAAAAGCTATTGGGATTTCTGGTCAACTAATAAAATACTGAATGAATCTTATATGGCAAAGCAAATGCCAGTAAAGAAGTTTTCTTGGATTTTAGGCAATTTGTACATTTAAGATGCTAATAAATTACAAAATTCATGATTTGAATGGCATATAAGGCAAAAAAAGGTCAATCGATTTGAATGGCATTTAAGGCAAAAAAAGGTCAATCTCAAATTATTCTAATTTATTTACTAGCTGAGCCCTCAGTGAAAATTAAATATGACATCAAAAATCACCAGATTTTGGGGGAAAAAATTTCTGTTATTTTAGGTAGAACTTTTTGTGTTTTAACACTTTTTTTAAAATTGGAGGTTTTTAGCAGTACATGGATACCGAGTTTGTGCAATTCTTTGATTTTTTATTTTGGCTTTGTGTAGTGGCAATTTTTAACGTCAAAAATCGCCTCTACACTAAGACGAAATAACAAGTCAAAGAATTGCACAAACTCTTTATCCATGTACACATGGACCTATTTTCACTTGGAAAATGTCACAGAATTGCACAAATTAAGGATTGTGCACTCTCATGACTTTATCCGTGTACACGTTGAACTATTTTCACTTAAAAAAACATCAGAGAGTTGTACAAATTTGCCATTGCGCACTCCCTTGACTTGATTGGCGATAAATGAAACAACTTTGCAATAATACAAGGGGGTACCCTTCAGTCTAATTTAACCCAAAATTTTCCTAAATATAAGTATTGGGACCAAAGGAAAAAGATTTTGCAAAGTTTAAAAAATTGATTTCTTTTAATTTAAAAATGCCTAAATCTGAATATTTACTTTTTAAAACATTTTTGTAATTAAAAGTATATGTCTGTGACAAACCGTTTATATGTGTAGAGGGTGATCATGGGGAAAAATATATATATATATATATATATATATAAATCCCTAGTGCCCTAGCAGCTGAATGAAGGCAAATTATGGTTATATTATTTACCATTTTATTTATTAGAAAAATTAATTTTTATGTGTGTGGAACGGATTAACTGGATTTCCATTATTTTCAATGGGTAAGTTGTTTCTAGATGTGAGAAATTCACTATACGAGCGTAATGCTGGAATAAATTAAACTCGTATGTCGATGTTCCGGTGTATTTAAAACAGGCTGTTTTTCCCCCCTCTTCGCATGATATTGCTTTTGGGTGGTGTTACCAATTCACATGATTTGCATATGCATTATAATGCTAATGATTTGCATTCGCATATCATTTTGAAGACAATGCATGATGCAAATTTCAGTCTACTTCCATTGGTGAACAGCTAAATGTGGTGTGTTTGTATGTGTAAATAACAGGTTGCTCTGGAACTGAGAGAAATTTAAAATTTTAAATATAATTTGAAAGTTAACTGTTTATTTAGGCACATAATAATCAGAATTTTAAAAGTTTATATTTTGGACAATAATATGCAGTAATAAAAATAGTCTTATGCAATTTTGAGTGCAAAATTTGTATGTATAAATGAGTAAATTTACAAAGATTTAATGATAGTGTAATTTCTTTTGAGAGTTTAAGAAATAGCCTTTTTCTTTTTAAATGCAAGATTTAATGTTACTTGTATGTTTACAGCATTTATTGCTATGTCTGTCTAGTTATGAGTAAGGTTTTAAAATTTCAAATACAAAGAATGTTTTTCAATTAATAAATGAATATTTAGAGAAGTTTGTTGGTGAATATATATATGTAATGATTTCAATTACCTTTTTTATTTTATCCATTCGTTAAACGATGTGAGATTAGTTGAAATAAACTGCACTGAAGTTCCACGCCTGTAGGGTCGAAAATCGGCTGCGCCATATTATTGTAATGAAACTGTGGTTTGAAGGTGGCAGAGTGGAAAGCATGATGACACAATTTAGCTCAACATATCTTGAAAAATCACAATCTTTATTTTTTCCATGCATATCAAATAATCCTTTTTCAGATAAGATACTTCGTAATAATACTTGAATAGAATAATTTTTAAGTACGACGTCATCTTAAGCAAGTAAGCGGCAGCAGCATAGATTAAAAGCGTCTTACCAGCTGGAGAGCTAACGTGGAAAAAGGGAAGGTTATAGTACTTTCATAGCAAGAAGGCTGGGAGTGAGAAAGTTTCAGTTCACAGTTTTGGTTTAGAATTAATTTGATTGGACGAGAGGCATCTGCTTTAATAACGTTACATAAAACAGAAAAGTCTGGAACCTGTGAGAAAGAGATGAATTTAGGGGACAGATTACCAAATTTAGAATGTTAATTTTGAGATCAATTATTTTTTTGAAACAGCTATCATATTTTATTATATCTTACATATATATATATATATATATATATACAGGCTAATGTTTTAATGCAAAAGAGTAGTGTCACTCGAATTTTAATAAGAGAAAATAAGAACATTTAAGGTTAAAAAGAATATGTATTTTAAATAAAGATTGTTGTCAGCTACCAAGCCACTGAAAATGAAATGAAACTGGAGGTTATATGTATTGAAGTATTTTTATAATCATGGTTCTATGTGTTACTAAAACAAAGAAAAAATCTGTTTTAAAATATTTATTTGTAGCTTCTCTAATGCATCTGTTAATGCTTTCCCTTGTACTGCTAAATATTTTGTTATATTCATCAGTGATAAATTTATCTGAGCTTATTTCTTTCATAAGTTAATTTGAAAGTTTTGTTGCATGTCAAACATGTGTTAGATTCTGACTATATACTAATTTACTTTTGTTTTAAATGCATTTGGACTTTTGTTTCTTTTTGTTATAAAAAATGCTATTGTTCTGGCAAATTTAATAATGATTTTTCTTTAACCAGTGAAGAAGGCATCCGAAGAGGATGTAAATGAGCTTCCAGAAGTGGACCAAAATACGAAGAAAGATCTAAGGGCCCGGACTGGAGTGGCCGCTAGTCCGAAAGCAAAGCGCAATTAGATATGAATAAAACTTTCTTTCATATTGTTGGTTTAATTTCTTCTTATTTTTCCAGCATTGGAGTGATGAGTGAAAGTTTTGTACTTTATGTTCCTTTTCTAAAGTTATGCATTAAAATTTTATTTCTTTTGTATGATGCTGTTTTTCAGTTTCTTGTAATAGTTCTAGTGAGCATACGATCCATCACTAACCAAAAGAATGATTTATTATATAAGAAAATGGAAACAATGGGCAGTTTTGGGAAACTAAGGCACAACCTTTCTGAAAGTATAGCATTTCCAAAACTGGAACATCTTGAGGTCACTTTATGAAAATGGAGCATTCATGTGAAACCTTTTTGTAAGCTGAAATAGCATAAGCATTTGCCATTAGCTTTCATGAGAAAGTTTCTTGATCACATCGAGATATCATTAAAAAAAATCTGACAATAAAATTGAAAAGATGGAAGCACATTAGAAGTCTTAAAAGTAATAGCTGTGACTGTGACATGTGAAACTGAATTTAGTGATTAGTTTGATGACTTAGTAATGAGATTTGCAAAGCTAAAAGTGTAGAAAAGACGATTGTTTAACCCTGTATTAGGCATGCGAGTTACACCTGCCATCCATTGCAGTTTAAAAAGTTTGTGTATTCTGTTTTATATCCCTTATATAGATGGTACCACTCTTTGTACGTTTCATTGAAAGCCTTAAAAATCATATTTTGCCATCATTCGAGGTCAATTCTTTGTTTCTCTCGAAAGAGGTAGCTTCAAACCATAATAAGCGGCATCTAACTCCCACTCGACTAAATGCGTAACAGAAATTGAAAGGTATGTGGTATCTTTTTTGGTATTTTTAAATTCCTTTGTAAGATTTTTCAGCCTTTATGCAGTTTTATTTTTATAAATATTAAATTTAATTGAAATAATGATTAACCAATAAAATACTTTCCTTGTTTTTTGATATTTTTATGTTTGTAGATTGTTGGAGAGTAAAGAAGGGAGGAATTCTACTAAATGGAGGCGTGTGGAAAAAAGCATAGATCCAGAGCAATGGTTGGGTGATTGAAAGCGAGGAGGAATCGGAAGATGCCTCAGACATGGATGAAAGTGATGAAGATGATAATTATATTTACTAAAATGGATACAGACTCAGAGGAAGGTGAAAAGGAAGTAGGTGAAGAAGGAAAACTTACAGGATATGGATGTAAACTCTTCTAAGAAATATTATACAATTAAAAATAATACAACTAAATGGTATAAAGAATAAGCTAACTACAATATGTGCACATAATCTTGCAGTATTGTAATTCATTTGCCTGGTCCTATTGCAGAAGCCCAAAATGTCAGCAGTAAAACTGAAATGATCTATTTATTCATAAATGATAATATTTTAAAACTGATAAATGAATATACTAACATGTATATGGATTCTGTCGAACACCTTTTTCGTTGAGAATGTGATGCATGTCCTATGATATAACGGGGTTTTGGGCTTTCTTTGGTGTACTTTATTTTATTGGAAGTCGAAGGTGTTCTAATTGTGTTTGCAGTGAAGAGTGCATAAAGTTACTGATAAACTAAGTGCAATACATGCAATTTTTGAATTATTTGTAGATAATTTTTAGAAATATTATTTTCCAAGAGCATATTTCGCAGTATTTGAACAACTTTCAGCAGCACATGTGGCATTAAAAAATACATTCCCAATAAATCCTAAAAAATGTGTGCTAAAAGTATTTGCTTTAGTTAGCAAAATGTTTTACTCTATAAAAATTGAACCATACAATGGCAAGCAGCACAGAAGCCCTTATGGCAGCAGCAAATCACCAACATTGTTCTTAGGTGAACTTGTGAGAAGCACTTGCTTATCTTCTAAGTGACAACTGTACATGTAGTAAGTTCTTGTAGGAACTATACAGAGACTGTTCAAATTTTTTAGACGATGTATATTGTATTTACAAAACTAAATTACCTAAAATTCTTGTGTTTTAAATGTTCTATTTGACATCCCTTATTCTGAACTGTTTTTCGACACCGCAATTTCCGGGATAATAATGCCTTTTGAAGTGGCAGAAAGAGGTATTCTACCCATTCCTCCCAAACAGCTTTCCAGAGTCCTGCTAGAGTTTTGGGACAACGTTTGGATAATGCAGTTTTTAAAAGTCCGAAAGCACAAAAATCCATAGGTGACACATCGGGAGATTGAGTAGGGATATCAGTGAAGGGTATGGCCTTGATACCAGTTTTTTGTTCCATTTCTTTTAGGAAATTTACATTGGATTTTGATGTGTGACTGCTAGCTTTGTCCTGATGGAGTCTCACAGATGGACGGCACTGTGGGTAAAGCGATGGTATTTCATTCAGAAAAATTGGCGATAAAATATATTCCTGATAGTATTTGGAGTTAATCTTGACATTTTTTTGCACTCTCTTTATTTTTAACTTGCCATTATATGAAAAACCAGCAACAATCATGAATCCCTTAGAAAAACTTTCTTTTCATTCTTTGAACCAAGTACTTAAATTTTTTTCTCCCCTTTTGTCATGACGTGATGACCACGCATGCGCAGTTTAGCCGAACGGCCTGCAACGCCTCTCTCTCATGAGACTTACTAGAGAAGAGTAGTTAGTAGGGAGTAGCGAAGTAACGAAGAAAATGTGTTGTATGTCAGTACGAAATTATACTTATGTGTTAATCGGTTGTACTTATTATTTTTATTTGTGTGTTAATAAAGTGTTGTGCCGTTAAAATGGCTGTTTTATGTAACGCACACGATACGCTACGTCTACGGTAGGAAGTATATACATATCCAGAAACTACCCGCCCAAGAAAAAGTAGAATATGACAGTGGTGTCAGAAAAGGAGGATATGTTATTCTGCAAAGCTCACGGATAAATGCGTAAGTGAGTCTTCAGAAAGGTAAGAAATTTGTTCAATTTATTTTGTGGTAAAGTGGAATTCAAGGTTACAAAAATGGCTGAAGAGCTAACGAAATCTAAGAAAGAACGGAAAATTATTCGTTCAGCCATTACTAAAGTAACAAATGCTATTGAATCATTAATTGCAGTCGGTAACCTTGAAGACCTTGAAGAAAATCACTGGAAAGTTTAAAAAAATAAAAGCTATTTCTTTGAAAGCGTTAGACGAAAAAAAAAAACTTTAAAACTTTGACTGAATTAATGACATTGAAACCGAAATCGAAAGTGCCTTGGAATACGAAAAAAAAAATTTCGAAATGGAGCTTTAGAGGCACAAAATTATTGAAAGAAAAAGAAATAGCAATAATTCGCTAGTTTCTATGGTTCTTCTAATGATAGTTCTTCTAATGATAGTAACAATTTATCTATTTCTGGTGTCGATAAAAGTTCTGATTATAATGTTAAATTGCCGAAGATTATGATTGATAAATTTTATGGAAATGCTGAAATGTGGCAGACATTTTACAATTCTTTTGATACGGCAATAAATCAAAACGAAAAACTATCTAAAGTAGATAAGTTTAATTACTTGCTTAGCCTGTTAGGCGGTGCAGCTTTAAAAACAATAGAAGGCTTTTCTTTATCTCCAGAAAACTACGACGAAGCTTTTAAAATTCTCAAAGAGAGGTATGGTCGAAAAGATTTCCTTATTAATTCTTACATGCATAAACTTTTAAATTTACGGCCTGTCGGAAGTTCTAATGACATTAATTCTTTGAGGGAATTATATGATACCTGCAACGTACAAGTAAGGTCACTAAATTCGATAGGGGTCAAAGACCGAATCGTATGGAAAAGTTACTATACCCTTTGTTAATGAAATGCATACCTCAGGATATAACGCTTGATTTTGCTTCGTCAAAACACAGATGAGGAAACTTTTAATGTCGACAACCTCATGAAATTTCTAAACGGAGAAATTGAAAGTCGCGAACGAACTTCATTAAATCTATTTTATTCTAAGAGTTACTCTAATTCTCTTGGAAAAGGCATTCACAACCCAATGAAAAGCGAAACAACTTCCACACTCGGAATTCATTCAACGCCAACAAAATTTGGCGCCAGCTATTCCCCTAACTGTAAAGCAAAATTGCAGTTGTTTCGAACGTTTCCCTTGCTGTATTTTGTGAAAGAAAGCGAAAATCATGCTTCGGAAAAATGCGTTATGTCCTCCGGAAGAAAGAAAAAAAGAGTTTAAACGGGATTCTAATTCGGTGCTTTCTTTGTTTCATCGAAAGGAATTGTAGAACAAAAAATTGTCCTTCTCAATTAAAATGTTCAAAATGTAATTCTAAGTATCATAATATATTGTTGCATGAAGATAAGGAAAGGGTTGATAAAGAAGAAATTAAGAATAATTCTAACGCCGTAACTGCAAAGATTTCTTCTAAATATTTTACTGCGAATCAAGAGGTTAAAGAATTAATAGATGACTTGCCAACCGTTAAACTTATATGTGATGGTAAATTAATTAATGCAGTAGCAGATACAGGCACTCAACTAACCGTTGTTAAGACCGACATTGTACCAGAAAAATACCGTACGCCACATGGAAGTGTTATCCTCACATCAGCTTTCGGGCAAGCTTTAAAAGCTCCTCTCATTAACCTACCTTTAGTAAGATATTCTGAAAATGATGAATTTATGTCGCCAATTTTTATAACATGTGCAATGGTGGATAAGTTATGTAATGATTTACTCTTGTCGTTAAGTGCTTTTAATGAGTTAAGGGGAGATGATAAAAGAAAGTTTAATTTTGAATGTAAAAATGTGAACATTGCTACTGATAGTTTCGGGTTGTTGAATGAAATGCATTTTCATGAAACTGAAAATTTTGACGAAATACTTAACCATGATAGGGAAAACCTAATTAATGAAAAAATGTAATGAAACTGTTAAGAAGATAATAGAATGTTGTGCGCTTGTATATGAAGATACAGGTAAGGATGATTCCAAAGGTAGCACAAGACACGATCAATGTGTTTCGGATTCAGAACTGTTTCGAGTGCAACAAATGAATGACCCATCTTTAAAAACATGTTGGCAAAATGTTAAGAACGGAAGTAATAACTTTATTGTTATTGACAACTTTTTGTATCATAAAGATAAAGTTCTAGGAGAAAGAGTTTACCAGTTGGTCGTACCCAAAGAAAGAAGAAAACAGATTTTGG